CTGTTCACTCGTCAGTGTCTATTCTCTATTCAAATTCTGATAAATGGACGCGATGCCAATCTTAGGTATGCCAATAAAAGGGTTTGTACATTGACAGTTGAAATGAAATTTGTCCCATTCGTGGTGTGAACTCGTTTGGAAATCTTAAAACAGTGTATAAGTGCGTAGCTAGTTCCATCAGGGAGCTTCAAAATACTAAAAAGTCTCGGAAGGCAAGTGAGCTTCTGGGCTTTTGGCTCGTGGAAGTTTTTTGGTTTTTGGAAGGTTCCAGAGCCGAGGTCAAAAGCTCACTAGAACCTGGAAACATACAGGGCCTTAATCTATCTATACTTAATATTAAAGAACTAAAATTTCATTTTTTTCTGTCCATCTCCCGTACGATGTAAAATCTTTCTAGTCTTTCTTTACTTCCCACGCTGCACTCACACCGTGTCTCGTATGTGGCTCGATCTCATGACCTATTATACGATTATTGATATGGAGTCCGATTCAAAACATATTGGGTTACACCCTCCGTCTCTTGTACGAGATCTTGACTCATGATCAAAGCTCATATGAATTAGAACAACTTAAGTCTAACAATGATATGAAGTTCTATTCCTATATGTATTGGATTTCGTTATAACTTATAACTCACGAGCACATTTACTAGATTATCCTAATAATGGCTCAGTAGGATGTCGACGCCCATGTCTGCAGCAGGAAGCCTTATTGTTCTCTATTTAGAGTTTGTTTAGATATCCATATATTGACCTCAATCCATGTGTGTTGGGGTAGCTTGGTATAAAATCTAAACTAAATTCAACACTAAACCACTCCAACACATATGGATTGAGGTGGAACAAGACTTTAAGGGGTGTTTAGGACTACTCCATAAAACTCTCTCACAAACTCTATCGTGAGCACCTCCAGACTTGCACGGAGCTAAACTTGTTTTTGTTAAAAAACGTGAAGTGGGCAGTCCCAAACACCCTCTTAGGGTAGCATAAACCTACATGTTATGATTTGACGAGGAGGTATGATATGAATTAGGGACCTATTAGAGCATGCCCATACACTTGCCTGTTCGCTTAACTTATTAGTCATGGTATAATATTTTTCTCTCACAACAAAATAACATCAGTCGGCTTATCAGCCATAAAATACGTCAGCCGAACAGCTCTGCTGCCTTCGCCTGCCCCACTGGCTTTGGCGGCGGTCCGCTACCTCTACCGCTGCTGCCATTGCTCGGCGCCGCCGCTAATCACGATATCTTCTCAGTCTCCAGCTCGAGTGCCCCGCCGACACTAAGCTCAATGATTGTCTTTTCACGAACACATTCAGCACATGAACAGTCCAACAACCAGTAAAAATAAACTACATTGGTCAGCTCAAATCCACCAATGGCACTTCGGAAGTTCGGATCATTCAATCGTTCTGCATATATGTGTAGCACCTTCGATACTGATCAGGATAAAGATGCATCCTTTAGTTACACGGAAACAAATGATTGGCCAACAATGAGCGAACATATGAAAAATGGAACACCGTTCCTTAGCAATACCCTTCCTGGAATATGACAATATACAAACCGCACAACTAAGCTGACATAAACATACCTGATATGGCTCTGTTCGGCTGCTCTAATAAGCCAGCTTATGATATGCCATCCTCTGTAAGATTTCTAAATCTACTGTCAGACCAACTTGTACAATGTTTTTTGGTACTTGTTTTGCAGTAATAGATCATTAAGACGCCATATAGTGCAACGGACTCGGAAGTCAAACACTTCTCAATTAAACATCATGCATCCACTCTATATACTACCTTCCACTCAATTAATTCAAAATTTTGACAATATACACCAAAATCTCAGCGCTGCAAAAGGCACACTCAGCGCTCATATCTTAACCTATACTAACTGAATAATGCTACATCTATACCTTTTTTTATTTCTCCAAAAAGGGCCTTTCTGAGTACATCAGCACCTTACAGGGGATTAATGTCTCAGATGCTACAGAACATATCTCAACTTTGTGAGATTTACATCGGGTATTCAGCAATAAGCCAATGTGGTCACATGGAGAAGAGAATGAACTGCCCTTATTTGTAAGCACGCAACTGTCTTCCTGTTGCGATTTGCACGTGCGCTGCTGTAAAGAATAGCTGCTCGATAGTAATACAAAAATGGTACAACCTCCAAAAAGGATGGAACAGTGTCCTACTGTCGGTCAGAAGTTAGTTAAGATTCTATCTTTTGACAAACCATCGGCAACAAGAACTCTTGTGATTTCCTACATCATACAAATGCTTGCATAAGATCAGCGAGGAAGTACAGAAGACATTTATCATTAAAAAATTGGACACATATTGCACATTGTTAATCCTGAATGACAGCTATCATACAGTGTGGAAAGAATGTACTAGGCATACAAATTTCTAGAAGATGTACAGAGCTGCAAAACTTGCACTTCTAGTCATTTTAGTCTGCCAAAGATACACTACGAACTATAGATCAGCACAAACAAAACATGGTTCAAAAAAATGACAATGGCATGCAACTTTATGATTTATGCGAAGTAGATGTGCCTAACAATGAAGGGCGAGCCTGGTGCAAGCGGTAGAGTCTTACCGCCCGTGACCGGGTTCGAATCACGGTCTCCTCGCATTGCACAGGCGAGGGTAAGGCTTGCCACTGACACCCTTTCCCAGACCCCACACAGAGCGGGAGCTCTCTGCACTGGGTATGCTCTTTAGATGTGCCTAACAATGAACAGACCCGAAAAATTCTAAGCTTCCACATGCGTTCGGAAGGTTGCTTCAGAGGTGCTTGGAGTGACCAAAGGGAGCGGATGCGACTCGAAAGACACTTGGTGGTGGAATGAAGATGTGCAAAAGGCTATTAAGAAAAGAAGGAGTGCTATAAGCGCTTGTATCATAACAGGTGTGCAGACAACATAGAGAAGTACAAGGTGACAAAGAAGACTGCAAAACGAGCGGTGAGTGAGGCAGGGGCGGGCCTATGAGGACCTTTACCAACGTTGGAGTACGAAGGAAGGAGATAAGGACATTGATAGGATAGCTAGGGCTCGCGATAGGAAGACAATGGATTTCAATCAAGTCAAGTGCATAAATGATGAGAGGGAGTAGCTCTTGGTGAAAGAAGATGAGATCAGACATAGATGTCAAGAGTATTTTGATAAATTGTTCAATAGTGAAAACGAGAACACCACCGTTCAGCTGGACGACTTGTTTGAGGACTAATAGACACTTTATGCGGAGGATTCAAAAAGTCTTGAAAAGGATGAAAGGGGCAAAGCGATGGGCCCTGATGGTATCCTAATCAAGGTGTGGAGATGTCTCGAGATATAGCTATAGTATGGCTAACCAAGATGTTCAACAATATCTTTCGATCGAACAAGATGTCTGAGCAGTGGAGAAGAAGCATATTGGTACCAATCTACAATAACAAAGGAGATATCCAAAGTTGTACTAATTATCAGAGAATTAAGTTGATGAGCCACACTATGAAGCTATAGGAGAGAGTCATCGAGCAGCGCCTGTGAGGAACGACGCAGATATCAACAAACCAATTTGGTTTCATGCTCGGAAGGTCAACCACAGAAGCAATCTTCTTAATAAGACAAGTTATGGAGCGGTTTAGAGAACAGAAGAAGAACCTTCACATGGTTTTCATTGACCTGGAGAAGGCTTATGACAAGATACCAAGAAATGTTATGTGGTGGGCTTTGGACAAACATAAAGTGCCATCAAAGTACGTGACCCTCATCAAGGACATGTACAACAATGTTGTGACTAGTGTTCGAACAAACGATGGTAATACATATTACTTCCCGATTAAAATTGGACTTCATCTAGAGTTAGCCTTAAGCCCGTATCTCTTTGTCTTGGTAATGGATGAGGTTACCAGGAACATACAAGGAGATATCCTTTGGTGTATGTTGTTCGCTGATGATGTAGTATTAATGGATGAAAGCCAAGCGAGAGTAAATAGAAAACTAGAGTTATGGCGGCAGACCCTTGAGTCTAAAGATTTTAGATTGAACAGAACTAAAACCGAATATATGAGATGCGACTTTGGCGGAGCTACACAGGAAGAGGGAGATGTGAGTTTGGAAGGTCAAGTAGTGCCTATGAAGGATACCTTTCGGTATCTGGGATCGATGCTACAGAGGGATAGAGATATTGATGCGGGTGTTAGCCATAAATTCAAAGCAGGGTGGATCAAGTGACGACAAGCTTCTAGCATTCTCTGTGACAAGAGGTACCACAAAAGCTAAAAGGCAAGTTTTATAGAACGACGATTAGACCGGCTATGTTGTATGGAGCAGAATGTTTACCTACAAAGATTCGACATGTTCAACGACTGAGTGTTGTAGAAATGCGTATGTTGCGATGGATTTGTGGTCACACAAGAATGGACCGAGTTCGGAACGATGATATACGTGATCGCCTAGGGGTAGCACCAATTGAAGAAAAGCTTGTCCAACATCGGTTGAGGTGGTTTGACCATGTCCAAAGAAGACCTCCAGAGGCACCAGTGCGTTGTGGAGTCCTAAGCCAAGCTAATAATATGAGGAGAGGTAGAGAAAGACCGAAATTGACATGGGGGAGGCAATAAAAAGAGATTTGAAAGCTTGAGATATACCTAGAGATCTATGTTTGAATATGAGTGCTTGGAAAGCAGCTATTGAAGTGCCTGAACCGTAACTTGGGGCTCTTGGTGGATTTCAACTCTAGCCTACCCCAACTTGCTTGGGACTGAAAGGTTATGTTGTTGTTCCAATAACTAGCCTGTATTACATGTCAATGCAGATCTCTATTGTCATAACTCGACCCGCCGGGGGTATGATATGACCTCCCCTAGGGCATTGCTATTAAGGTAGAAGACCTCAACCTTGCAGACCGAAAAACCCGCCGAACCCTAACAATGCAGACCCTATAGTGCTGCACCATAACCTAGGCCGGCTGACACAGCCATCACAGGCCGACTGTCACCATTACCATAGCCGGCTGCTACAGCCATCATAGGCCGACTGTCACCATTACCATAGGTCGGCACACTGCCACTATTTTATGGGTCGCCAACGAGGGAGTTTCTTTAACCAGCCCTGAAATTCGCTCCCACGGAGGGCCGAACCCAGGCACTGGAGGTGCTATTCAAGAGTCACAATCACTAAGCTATGAACCCTTTCGCGCCTCTATTGTAATAACATTTCTAATGTTTCAATGTACAGAAGAGAAAAAAACATATTGAAGTAGAGAACATTGTGACACATCAGTAAAAAGAAGTGCTGAAGGTAAGGTGCTACCAACTTCTGTATAACAGTTACATTGAGTGTCTAAGATAAAAATGAGAGGAAAACAAGCAAAATGAGCATACCTCAGTCATCTGTTTATGCCCACACAAAATTGCTCCCATTGATGAAGGGTTTACAATATTCTTCATCCTTGAGAACACATTCTACAAAATGCAATAGAAAATCTATAACACACAGAACACAACAAACTAGAAATAACACGGGATAAAAAAGATAACAGCACCTGGACATAACCTCGCTCCCCTGCCCATTGACCATCAGGTCTTGAGAGGACAGGTACAATTTTAACTCCTCTGGATTCCCAGTCATCAAACCTTTCCTGTCAGTGCACATAATCACCAGCCATCATAGACGGAATATGAAAATATACAAACTGCACAACTAAGCTGACATAAACCTACCTGATATGCCATCCTCTGAAGATTTCTAACCCCATAAAAGAGGCTTACATCAGTTTTTTTTGTTTTCAGCAAAACCTGACTCAATAAGTGATCGTATAGGGCTGCAATTAACAAATGTGGAGATAGAGAATAATTATAATTATACATCCTAATGTAAGTACATCTGCATGTCTTGAAAACTTGTACAAGTGTACTTCGTATGCATTTGTATCAGATACACTAACACAGTCTTCTTAGGACAAGTATCTGTGCTTCCATTACATGGATATAGCTTATCTGGAGAGCAGGCTTCTAGACACAATGATGTTTGCAGCTCAATAAATCTGACAGAGCTATTCATGGGAATGGTATTGCTCATCCATCGAAGGGATGGAGCAATCTAATCAAGAATAGGGCATTGTCAACAACTGATGAGTTATCTAAGAAGTGAAAACCTAATAAATACTCCGTAGTATCTTGCAGCTAATGTCTTTTCATGTTTAATCTTCCACTGAGTACGTGCATGTTCCGGTTATATATATCCCAACTCCAAAGAGCACTAATGGGTTAAGCAATTATGAGAAACTTATGGCTCAAGACTAGTTGGAAGTAATACCAGATATAGCTCAGACAGTAGATAGTGGATTATCATAATCCAGATGGCACCCCCACATGATTATCACAATTTAATACTAATTGTTCTTTTTTTCCGCCACAATGCCGAATTGCATCAAACTGTGGATTACCAATTAGGGTCTCGGGCGCGGGTGGGGGTGGGGGACGAGGGGATGCGATGGCGAGGAAGATGGGGTAGGGCGAGGCGGGGAGGCGGAAGGGGAGGAACTGGCCGGCGGCGGCGTGGGAGGCGAGGAGCCCCCGGTGCGCGGAGAGGTCGAGGGTGACGTGGAAGAGCGAGGCGTCGGCGGTGGCATGGCACACGGAGGCAAGAGGAGCCTCGGCCCACTCGGTTGGGGACTGGGCCGGGACCGCGGAGGCGAGCGCGGCGGCGGAGAGGAGCCGGAGGTGGTGCGGGCGGAGTAGGTGGAGGCGGCGTGGCGCGGAGCGCAGGAGCATGGAGGGCGTCCGCACGAGCGGTGGTCGGCGATCTGCAGGGCGTGCAGGTGCCACACCCGCGTGGTCAGGACTCAGGACAGGACAGGACGGGCGAGCCGGCCGGCGAGGAGGGAGGGACGGTGCCGGCGGCACGGATCTCGCTGCACTACCACGAGACCGGAAAGTTCTTTTTTTCTTCCTTTTTTAGAGTGCGAGGCCGGAAAGCTGTTGAGGTGTACGCCTTCGATTTCTCCTTTGTTTTTCTTTCCGTCGTCAAAACAGCAACGTGAACACTGAACACACGGCAAAATTGTAGAAAGAGAAACAGCAAGGTAGACGGCCGGCCCTCTGAGCTATCCGACGATATGGATATTTTCTGGCCGTATTCGAGGCCGAATTCATTTAGGGGGTTTAGATCTGTCCATATCCGAGTCTGGATATTCAATATCCAATACCGTATCCGTATCCGAATATTTAAATCGCATATTTATGATGTCGATGTCCAATCATATTCTATCCGGCATGGTTAACACTATTCATATTCGAATCCGAATCCGAACAGAAATATGAAAACAAATATAATATCAGTGATATCCGTCCGTATCCGATCCGTTTTCATCCCTACTTCTATAGAATCACGGCTGAGAAAACGCAAAAACAATGAACCGGCATAATAATAAACAGCTAAACAAAAAGAATTCTTTGTGCTCATACTCTATAGATCACGGCAAAAACGAGAGCATAAGACGATGACGATGCTGTCATCTTAACATCATCTTCAATTATTTCATTTTCTCCTCAAAAACTATTTATAGCACTTAAGAGCAACTCCACAAGACTCTTTATATTTGAATGATCTCCAAATAAGGATATAGAAATCAAGAAGTTGTTGGGGGTGAAAAAAAATATAGAAAGTGATTTTATTTGAATGATCTCCAAATAAAGATTTATAGAGTGGGTCTAAGAAAGATTCTTAATGATCTTCTTGGCCTTGGCTACAACTTTGTCAACTCCTCCAACCATAGAGAAAGGTTGCTCAGGTAGGTCGTCGCATCCAAAGATGTTGGCAGCAAAGGGCATGCATGAGTATTAATGGAAAACAGCTTGCTGAGCCAATTTATCAGATCTAAAAGTACCTTTTTTACCTGTAAGAAAATACTAGTGGCCAAGGTTGCAGTGCAGACCGCGTGTTGTGTCATTTCGTCCGAAACATATCATGCTTGTATTTCTGATTGGACAGGTGTCTCGCTCAAAAAGAAAAGAAGAGAACTGCAGTGGTATCAAGGTACGGAGTACAAGCAAAGGTAGACTTCGCTTCATCGCTCTGTACTCATCAGGCATAGTACGTCCTTCGATCTTCCAAGCGATTAGGAACGACTATTCCACAGTAAAATGTACACTACTACTCGCACACACATGTTTAACGACAGAAAACCAGACGACAAATGTCACCGCTACGAGATTTCTTCTCTGTGTGCAATCAATCCAATCGTACGTTTTTCTTAAGGGCGGCTCGTAATTATTGGTAGGGACGGTTTTGTCAGCCGTTCTCACGAAGGGGTGACTATAAATCGTTGATTTATAGAGACGGTTTTTAAACGGTTCTCAAACTATTCCTACAAATCGATTTATAGGGACGGCTAGATATTGAGCCGCCCATACGAATCAATTTTCAGAAATCACGAAAAAGGGATAAAAATAGCAATTTTTTTTAATCCGAGGAGGTTCCCACCAGCAGCCACACACACCTACTCTATCGTTGCAGCATTTCGGGTTTCGAACCCGCAACCTCTCGCTCGTGTGTAAACCCCTCTATCACTGCACCTCACGATCACTTGTGTCTATATTCCATTTTGGTTCCCCACATATTATATAAAACTGAGCATAAATTAATTATTTGAGGTCCTAAACTAATTCAAATGAAAAAATTGTCAACTACAAAGTTTTATAACTTTTTGAGATCTACAAATTTCATTTTGGTAGTTTCTCCATCCGAGGTCACTTATAAAATTTGAATTCCAAATTTGAGAAATTCGAACGTAGTTTTTCATGACAAGATGATTTCAAATGAGAAAGTTATCAACTATAAAATTTCACAACTTTTCAAGATCTACAACTTTCATTTTTACTGTTTGTCCATCCGAGGTCATTTAAAAAATTTAAATTTCAAATTTTTGGAAATTCAAACATAGTTTTCCTTAACAAGATGATTTCAAATCAAAAGGTTGTCAACTACAAAGTTTCATAACTTTTCGAGATCTACAACTTTCATTTTGATTGTTTCTCCATCCGATGTCATTTACAAAATTTAAATTTTAATGCTTAATTTTTAATACTCAGTGTTTATTTGTAGGACACTTCAATATTGAGCCGCCCCTTCAATATTGAGATCTCAATCACGTTAGTCAGTCAGGGTCCTTTTTAGCCTGCATTACGCAAACGCAAGTAGGTACCCAGTTGGACACGTGTACCGGATTTAGGGTCTGTTCGTTTGGAGTCCGGAATGGCATGGAATTGTTCATGACCGGCAACTATTCAATAATTTACACTGGGCTGGAATCAATCCTGGCGTGGAAGAGCCGGAAACGGTTAACCGAACGACGCCTTAGTGGAAGATAAGATAAACAAATAAGGCAGCGCGCATGCCTGCACGATGATTAGAAATGCAATGCAAGCAGGGATCACATCGATCAGGCCCCATCCATCCGTCCCCTGCACTGCATCCAATAATCCAAAAGATAGGAGGAGATCACGCAAGCGACGTGGACGACGGGGATGCACGAGGCTGTTGCTTCCCCGCTATGCTAGCTAGGTTCGTTCGTGTGTGTGTGAGTGTGAGTGTGAGTGTGACCTACACGTACAAGCCCCTTGGATCTACAACTCTTCGTTTGCAAGTAACCTCTCACGCACATTTTATTCTTATTACACTACAAATCCTCCTTTTAGATACCACGAAGGGTTCCCTTTTAGATAGCTAGCTGTGTCATCGAGTTGACATTTCCAGGAGTAGAAACGAGTATATAAAAATGGAGTGATGGATTCTAATAATTTCAAGTACATAATAAATAAATAAACATATATATATATATATATATATATATATATATATATATATATATATATATATATATATATATCATTGTGCTTTCAACTCACCTAGATTCTAGAAATATAATGGGTACATTTTTAGTTATCCTAAGTCAAATATAATGGGCATTTTTTAGTTATCCTAAGTCAAACTGTTCTAAATTTGGCCACATTTACTAAAATATGATATGAAATGAGATCCATTAGATACGTAATGAAATATGTTTTCATAATTTATATTTCTAATGTGATACATGCTACTACTTTCTATATAAACTCGATCTAATATAAAATGTTTTTGGCTTAGACGAACAACTGAAAATCTATTATATATTTCAGAAGGGAGAGAGTTATCCATATATAGTGGACTAAAACCTTGGACTACATATTTGGCTTTGGCTCTAAATTTGGATGGCTTTGTGTTCTTTTAGACAAGTCTACCTGCACATTTTCTGCAGTTGGGTTTTGTGTTGTGTAGTTGGAGAGAGTTATCCATATATAGTGCAGTTGGGTTTTGTGTCGTGCCAAGTCTACCTGCACATTTTCTGCAGACAACCAACTTCTCCAACGTCTCATATATACACTCCCTCTGTTTCAAACCAAATAGCTTTATAAAGTTTAAAATTTGTCACATTCTAAATAATCGTGAAACACTGTCTCCTAATATGAAACATTATTACGGCTGCATGCAAACGAAACATTATTTTTTGAAAAAGGAAAGAAGATAAGATTACATGCGTCTTTTGTCAACATTCATTTGTCTGGAAATTTATAGAAACTTATTTATTACGGGTCGGAGACGGACCGAGTATAGAGTTAGATTCGACATCAAGACCACTGATGCTAATAAACTCGGTGCGGTGTCGCCGGTGTGTACTAACTGATGACTGTGCATGTTGGCTCCTGGACGACCCCACCAGCTCTGATTCCTGACCGACCGCGACATACATATACTGGTGGTCACTGGTCAGGTAGCTACGCAGCAGGATACAGAGACAGCAGGTGGTGGAAGGGTTCAGAGAGAAGATCATTGCTTGGAAGAAACCGCAAAGGAAGATGCAGAGATGCATGTACTCCTCCGAGTCCGACGTACGTAGCTGCCGGAAAGAGAGAGAAAGATACGTACGTAGCCACGTCGTAGGTGCTAGAATTATTAACCGATGGGATATGTTTGCATCGTCGTCGAATGAATTAAAGTCATCAGGCTGTGAGATACGTCTCAGACTCTTGTTCGGTGCACGAAAAGCATGTATGCAGATGCGGGCACACACTCGCTGTCGGTGCAGAAAGTAACAAATATGTAAATATTTATAGTTTTATCGTACGTTGTGATCAGATGTGGCCTAACACTCAATGACACATGTGTTATACTGGTTCAGGCAACGTGTCCTACGTCCAGTTTGAGTCGATAGGTGACTTTATTCTTGAGCATAGGTGCTCGAAGTTTGCTGTGGGGTTACAAACGGAAGGGAGAAAGATGGGGGTGCAAGAGGTCCGGTCGGACTCTGGTCTGAAGGGCCGAGAGTGACGGGAGCTCTACTGTGCGCTAAGTGTTCGAACGGCTGTTGTTCGTTGGAATCCTTGATCGTTCGGATCGTGTGTTGTTTGAGTTGTGAACTGATTAATGTGAGTGAACCGATCCTCCGTCGTCCTTGTTGAGTGAGAACGCATCATCTTTTATAGACGAAGGAGACGGCCTTACAAGCGAGAGAGAGAATACGTATGCTATTAAGTCTTGTTGTTCAAGCCGTCGGGTACAAGATGATTGTAGGCGTCTACAGTACTGTTGATGTCGGACGCATGTGGAAGGTTTTCACCGTGGTCACTAGGTACGGTAAATGCCGGTGCCCACAACACTGTGGATGCCCAGATGCATGTGGGAGGCCTTACCGCGTTTGCCTGGTATGGGAATTGATGGCGCCCGCAACACTGTA